TTAGATAATTCACTGTTAAAATCGAGTACTTACCAGGAAAACAGTGTATTTCAGTTGTAAACAGAGCTACTATTAACGTGCACACACCGTTGGTTGCCTCGCAATCGAATGTTCTGGATTACGTTGCCAGAAGCACGTTTTCAGCTGATCATGTTGACGTAACGCTCGAACAAATGAGAAATTTCGATCAATAACCCAGTCTTCTGTGTGGTAAAAACAAAGAATTTTTATGGCTGAAATGCAATAAATAAAGCCAAATTATCCTAAATTGAACTTTATATCTGTTTTACTCGACATATTTAGAAATTTCATCTTGAGATGATACATGGTTTCAATGTGCCGAGAAAGACCCGGAACGTTGAAGTACATTTCATTTTTTTATATGAATGACAAAATGTATTTTGAAGGATAAATATATAAAAATATCGTTTAATTACCCCCTAACAACAATTATACTTAAATCAGGTTTTATTTAAATTTGGCTAGGTAGCTGCTGAACAATTTTACTTACCCATCAATATATATGACTGATAATTTTATAAGCCAAGCTTTTTCTATAGCAATATTTAAATTAATTTTTTGTTTTCAAATTTGTTACAAAAAATTTCAATTGAGCTCGGTATGCTACTGACAACAAAGGCTCATGCGACACTCGTGCGTTCAAGTCCGTGACGGGCTACGGGCACTGGGTCGCCGCTAACCTATCAATGATTTATTCATCATTATGAACATTCTACGTCTACAACAATAAGAGGTGACCTCAGGGAAAGTAAATTCAATAAACTAAAATTAAAATTAGTTCAAACGTGATAATTTACTATTATGAGAGACTTGACTCGAGGAAAATTCGCTTCCCTCACACTCCTTCATTTGAACCAGCAGTTTTTTATTCATAGAATATATTTATTAACGAAGTAAAATATACTCACAAAATGAAGAGATATATTTCTAAGTAAAATTTTCAGCTTATGTTAATTTTGATTTTTTCAATCTGACGTTTATAAGATGTGTACCAACAAGGATCATTTTTATTCAACGAATTCTTTCATTGGCTACATATAATGAAATTATGATCGCCCGGCACAACACTTTCTGCAATGAATGGGTAATATTGCCCGAATAGTTACCCACTTTCTTACCAACAGTACCCCAGTTCATAGTTACCCCAGTGGCCCAGTTTCATCTTGCTGATACGCCCTGTTGCCGGGCCAAAACGGACCGGGATGCCCCGTTTTGAAGTTCAAGATGACCCGTATTTTGAACGGGACAAGAAGTGCATCGCTAATCGGAAAAGTCCCACTCATGGGTCGCCTGCCGAAGACCACCACTGCCCTGGATGTAATGGACCATCATGATTCCTGCCTTCCGGAACGTAGCCTTCAACACTTCAAGTCGTCCGTATCTAGGTCGTGTGTCGAACCAGCCCTCGGTCGAACGGCCACTTGTCGAAGGACGATAAATTTTGGAACAGAACTATGCTATCTAAAACTTAATCTCAGATGCGGTGAACGTAAAATTACGTAATTTAACGATGCCCGGAAGACATATTCGATCCGCGGCCTGGTGGTGCACGGCAGGTTCTATGCAAGGCCGGAGGAGGACAAAGCCGAGTGGTTTACGGCTGATTGGTGGATGTCCGCAGAGGTCCAAGGCGTTCGATTCAGGGCTTATTGGTGCACAAAATTGGTGGTGCATGGCTGCGCTCCCCCACTCATTGCTCTGTGTGTAAAATTATTAAAACTTACCCACTAATGAAATGATTTGACATTTGGTGGCATGTTTTGACGATAATTGTTATCTCGCGCATGTATTGAATTTAATATAACTTCTCCTGTTGTCAACCGCATTAAAAGTATTTGAAGATATTTTACGAGTTGATATAATATATTCTATATAATTACAATTGAACTGAAAACACAGATCACAGATCAAGACGCTACTGATATTAATGAAGTAGAAATATTTCGTGTCCACTTTAATGATCAAAATGCGAAGTTTAAAGAGAAGTTTAGTTACTTTACTGAGCTTCTTAGTTTAAGTTGGCCGCGTAGCCCCAACCCTCCTCCATTACAATAGAGATAAATAATATTAATGTAATACTTTCATTCGGTGAACACGCAGCTACCCGAGGAGGAGATATGCAACCTGCATGGATTTCTTCCACTAAAAAAAATATATATATGACTCAGTACTCACTGCCGTGAGTGACAGAGAGCGCATTTTCTCGCCGACGAAAACTTGAGGTCACGGACAGACGGACAGACAGACGGACAGACAGACGGACGGACGGACATGGCGAGCACAATAGTGCATTTTTTCCATAAATGAGAAAATGCGCTAAAATGAGGAGACTTTGTCCTAATAGCGATGCAATTTTTGCCCATGAGTGAGTCGCCCTGACTCAGTACAGCACGGGAAAAGTAGTTTAGCTGTGCTGTCACTAATTGAAGAAAGTTACTATTTGAAAGAAGACACACAAAGTGTGTCACTACCTGGACAATTTGATCTTATAATGTTTCTGAGTGTATGATTCATAAGAAGCTATATATTCGTACTGTATTTCATAATTACACCGGATATTCAAACCTTCAATTATACAACAATAACGGCTGACGTCACCGCAGTAAATGTTCACTGAAAAGATGAATTCAACTTTTATTCAAAGTATTACACACTTTTTGTACATAGCACCGATACATCCTCTTGTCGGACCATATTGTGTTAGGAAAACCCCCCCAAAAGGGTACAAACTGCATATTCATATATTGTACGAAATCACGCAAATATCTTTGAGCGTGTCCATTGTGGCGACATATCAGCCATCATGAATGCCATGCCATTCATGACTGTCGTTACATTCATGAAAGCAGTTTTATTTAAAAATTGCTGTATTATTCATGTTCATACAAAGTTTGAAGATTATCATCTTCCGTTACCAACAAAGCAACTGAAGCAAACTTCTAGTATATAAGAAGGATACGCATCCTACATGTACGCACTTGGTGGGATCCCTGCTCAACTATACTGCATATACCTACACGGCTATATATAGTAAGTGAGAGCGGCAATACATTACACTTACATATTATTATTTTAAATTATTTTTGCTTTCTGGGATTTGTATATGAAAAGATATGTATATCAGTCCTCACAAATAACATGCATATTAGACCCTATAGCCTATAGGTCTTGTAGCGTTGAAGATAGAGTCCTGGCACTCACAGTGCAAGTTAATATATAGTTAATACTTAATAGTTAAATGTGGAAAAATTCTCTTTGTAGTAAAATGTTATTGATAAAATTGACATGTGACATGAAGACGTCACATCTTCTTTAAACAAATAAAAGATTTTTAATTACTTATTTCCCATAATTTTATTAAAATCATTATAAAAAATTTGTCCTAACCACATATATCAGACATATCAATATATCAGAATATTCTAATATATGTAATTTTACAGCGTCCAATTTTGTTCATGTTGTGTATGTTCAATATACATTCCTGGCATTCATTTATTCCAGACATAGCTTGTATTTTTATACAGCTGTATCTTTTTCATGATTTTTTAAAATTCATCAGAGAAAATTAAACTATAGACATGATAAATATATTGTCAAGTTCTTCTGTTTCATCGTGCAGATATTTCGGAACTTTTCAACTCTATCAACATTCAACATGATGCGGTCAGCCTTCGCCCTGCTATGCATGGTCGCTTTAGCTCTCGCGCTCCCAGGTCATATGGGGAACATGTAAGTTGAATTATGTATGGTTATATATTTTATCCATTCATTTTATACATAATATTTCGATTATTAATCAATATTCAATCATAACATAACATAACATAGTGATCTCGGGCTGAAGCGTAGGCCTGGTGTGGCCTGTCGCCGATTCCTTTCCTTTTCGTGCCTTGTTCACAGAAGATCTAAACTCGTGTCATTTGACCGGATATTTTCATGACTGACGATAGTTTGAAGTAGCTGCTAGACTTCCACCGGGTTCGATATGGTGCTAGGCATTTCAAATCTGAACATATATTTTTCCATAGCTTTTTCTAGTCTGTTCTTGAACGCGTTCATACTTGGAGCGCCAACGATGTCATCGGGGAGGCTGTTCCACATGTCGGTGATTCGAAGCGAGAAGAAATTTTGTCGC